CTGCAACCGAATGATGCGTATGGATTGAGTTTTTGGTTCTAGAATTTAAAGGAGGATTATATCTAGAATTGGAGGAATTACGTGGTTTGTGAATGGTGATCAAGTCTGATGCACAACCTCTATGGCAAGAGAAACAGATGGAGAAGGAACTCCATCGAACCAAGAAGGATGTAGGGTGGGGTAGTTTCCTAGACATCTTTTTATGTGGCGAGGGACGGATATTAGACGGAGTTGAGAAGGGAAGGAGGTCATGATACCTGGTGATTTCACTAGAGAACTACAGGAGTCCACAATGGAGGGGGCAAATGCTGGTGTGAGGATGAAGTTGTAGTCGACGAGAGGTCGAAGGGGGGTAATGGTACCTCGCAATTCAAAAGTCTCTCTACGGCTGAATAACGAGTGCATTCTTTGGCTATCATAGAAACCTAGATAGGGTCGTCTACAGGGGTTAGGGTTGCTTCATCGGAAAAAAGGGGAAAACTTGGTCGGTAAGGTGTTTGTATGTGTGTGTGTATATATATATATTATAATATATTTTAAAGTTTTACATATGAGATTATAAAAAGAGTAAATTGACTAAAATATCCCTCTAGTTAACCTACTTAACAAGATTTTTTGAATGAAGTTAGGGCAAGAGACCTAGGCGTGTGAAAATGTAAGCCACAACTCACAAGGATATTTTCTATAATTATTTCGGTTCAATGATGCATAATGTAATTTCGTGTAAACCATAAAGACCAAGATGTAATTTACTCAAATTGATATGTCAAATCATTATAATAATGATTTTTAAATAATAATTTGTTTTCTTTTTAATGAAATCATTTTCAAAGTTTAAAATTTGCGTTTACCATTCTAACATATTTTTCCAAATTATATATTTGACTTGTCATTTATATAGTATGCCTAACTATGTGTAATATAGAATAATACTTTCTTATTTTATCTATCTCGGTTTAATTTATAAACTTGTGTGGCTTTAAAAGCTTGAAAGATTCTTTTGTTGTTTACTATATTAATAGAGCTCAATGTTGTATTGCATTTATCTATTTAAACATGTTTATGTTTATTAGTCGGTTATATATTAGGGGTTGTTTATTTTTAATAAAAAAACTCTTAATGTCCTCTTAAGTCTGAATCGGTCAGACATAAGAGGATTCAGTGTGTTTGTTTTTTTTTCCAATTAAGAGCTTAAAAGCTCTTATTAAGTCTGAAAATTTAAGTGGTTGAGAAACCTCTTATTACCTCTTATTTCAAATTGTCGCCTACCTACTCTGATCTCTTTACGCTCGATTTCTCTGGATCAACTCTTCTGTCTCGATCTCTCATCTCTCAACTCTGTCAACTGTCGATCCATATCAACTCTCGATCTCTCATCTTCAAACATCAAATTTCAGACGCAAAAAACAAACAGTCTGATTGATTCAGATTTCAGACTTCAGCACCATCTCTTAAAAATCAGAAGTGAATTCAGACCTCAGACTTCAGCACCTCTTAAGAAACAAACGCCACCTTAGTTTTACAAAATTTAAACATATTAATATGTTGTAATTTGTAAGTACGTAATAATAAGTTGTAAACGTTGTACAAGATAATGAAAATTTTGTATCAATATACTCGTATATGAATATACTTATGATTGAAATTTTGAAAACCAAGTTACTTACTGGATAAAATTTTAGTCAACAAAAACGGTATTATATGTAATAATTTACCCGGTAAGCACTAAACGTGGTAAAAGTCGTTGTCTCCACTTATCAGGTAAGATTTTTGGTCCTTGTTTCACTCTTTCCAGGTAAGATTTTTTACTTCTTACAATATTCATCTGGTATGATAATATGAGTTGGTAAGTACTTACTCAGATAAATATTTGGTAAATGACTCTTTAGTTTCTATTATTTTTAACATTGATTCCTAAAACAAAAACGAAAAATTGGTTTTTATTTCCAATGTGTGGTTTTTATGCATAGCAAATTTGTTTGTGTATGATTTTAGAGGATATGAATTTGATCATTAACGTTGTATTCTTGAGACATTTTTTATGAAGAAAAAGGAAGTAATGGAAAGAAAATAGGGAGATAAAAGTTATTGTGTTGTTGAGTTTTTTTTACGAGGGAGAAAGTAATCTAATTATTCTTTCAAAACTTTTGGCCCAAATTTGGAAGGAAATGAAAGGAATGAAATAACAACAATTAATTTTATTTTTGGATAAAATTATATATCTACTCATTAATTACTAATCATTGCAAACTAAGGGGCCATTTACCTAAACACCGGTAAAATTTAACACAATTGTGAACTTATCGGGTGAGATTTTATTCACTAAAACGCATCGTATTTAACAATTTATCCCGGTAAGCGCTAACCATGGTAAGAGTCAATGTCCTCACTTACCGGGTAAAACTCTTGATTCTTGTCTTTGCTCTTACCGGGTAAGATTTTTAGTCATTATCATATTCATCCGGTAAAGTAAAATGACTTGGTAAGCGCTTGCTTGGATAAGCGTTTGGTAAACGCCACCTAAATAAGGATATACCAGTTAAAATAAAGTATTTCACTTCTTTTCTTTAATTAATTTTACAGTTGTTTATAATTAATGGGTAAATGTGTCATTGTTAAAATTTTTAATCCTTATCGGAAAAAGACTCTCGCTTCTTATCATCACTCTTACCTAATAAAATTCTTAGGGGTTGTTTGTTTTTCATAATTCTCCACTTAATTACCTCTTAACTCTTAATCGGTCAGACATAAGTGATTTCAGATTGTTTGTTTTTTTTTTAAATTAAGAGATTTTTTTACCTCTTACCGTCCTCTTAAGTTTAAGTGGGAATCCTATGTTTGAAATCAATTTAGAACCGCCTCCCATCTCCATCTCGCTCTCACCTCTCAATTTATCCATCTCCATCTCGCTCTCAGCTCTCGATTTCAAGGTCTCACTCTCAGCTCTCGATTTCAACAGCTCACAGATTTCTCAACAGCCTCTCCGTCCAAGCTCTCGATCTCTCAACTGCCTCTCCGTCCAAGCATCTCTCAATCTAAAGATAGATAAGAAAAATTAGTGGTTCTCTGTTGGGTTATTTGCAGATTTATGGCTTATGCTACACGGTGTGATGCTGGATTTGTGGTTTTGTGTTGGAGCTGTTTTTCTACTGTTTTTCTTGCTTTTGGTTTTGCTAGTATCTGTCTATAATGAATATAATAAGAGCTCTCCATGAAAGCTATGAATATAATAACAACATTGTTTATATCATGTTGGATCCTTTCCTGGTTGAATATTGACAACATAATAAAGCTTTTGATTCAATGTTTCAAAATGCTTCTTTGCTTATTTGTCCCATATCTACAAGCGGTATTTTTTTTTTTTGTAACAAGAACTCTGTTCTCATGTGTTCCTGGTTATCGATTTGTGTGTGGGGGGGGGGGGGATTATGGATTGCAATCACCATCATTCCCCTTATGTTCTGGATACAGTGGGTTTGGCAAGGTTGGCAAGGGAAGTGCTATGCCTCTTCAATTATTATTGCTCTATCTTATCTCTTACAACTTGTAGGATTCTACTGTTAAGTCTGGTCGCATACAAGTAGATGGAAAGACAGTGCCTGTTTCATACAGTGTTTTTTTAGAATGACTTGGTTTGCAATTAAAATCTACCATATATATATATATATATATATATATATATGGTAGATATATATATATATATATATATATTAATATCTGTAAACCAGTTTTCTTGCATCTTCAACATGGATGAGCTAATCACAACTTTGCCATCAATAGTAGAAGCAAAAGTTGAAGATATATAAAGGGGATTCCTTGTAAATTGACATTAACAGAAGCCAAGATTTATTACCTTCTTGAGCATCAACCAATCAGTAATGCATTTATGATACCGATGCGAACAAGGCAACATGATCAACAGTTCACCAGAGTTGTAATTCATTTGACATATGACACAACTAAAAACACACACCCATGTTAAAACAATCATCAGAACCACCTCATCATGAAATTGATTATTGATATCTATTTCTTGATTCATATCTACAATGCATATTGTAAGGAATCATGTTCAATCCAGAAGTTTTCGCGCACCCTTTATGCGTAATGAGTTAAAACTATTAAAGTCTTATGCTTTACGACCCCATAACTTAAATGGAACAAACCTAAAAAGAAGGATTATAAGAAACAAGAGCTGCTGATATCCCTCAGTTTGAGAAAAATCCAGACATGTACTTGGAAGTCGGTAATCGAGAAATAAGGGCTGCTGATATCCCTCTGTTTTCAACACCAATGGAACGAGGATGAGGCTGACGAGGCTCAATCGCATGGGAGTGCCGCTGACGTATTTCTATTGTATGTTGAATCAATTGACGTATTTCAATTGATTTTTTGAATGTGTTAAAAATAGATGGTAGTTTACAAATGGTTTAAATGATTGGATATTTCAGTTATATTTAATTGAAATGAATTGATTCATATTTCAGACTTCAGACGTTTGTCAGTTTACAAAAACAAACAGTCTTATTGATTTAGATTTCAGATTTCAGACTTAAAAAACAAACAGCCTGACTGATCCAGATTTCAGATTTCAGATTTCAGACGTAAAAACAAACAGTCTTACTAAGTCAGATTTCAGACTTCAACACCACCTCTTAAAAATCAGAAGTGAATTCAGACTTCAGCACCTCTTAAAAAACAAACGCCACCTTAATCCTCGTCATATTTATTTGATAAAGTAAAGTGACCCAATAAACACTTTCATGATAAATTTTTAATACAATCTTTTATTTTAAAAAAATTAAAATAATAATGTAAATAATTGTTTTAGAAAATGATTCTAAAACATTCAGCTTTTAGAAAAACTGTTTTTTAATTTGAAATTTGCTGTTTTTAAAGCGTAACGAGTAACATGCGGTCAATATATCATCCCTCTCTTCCCTCCTTCCCTCCTTCCCTCCTTCCTTCCTTCTATTCTACCTATAAAAGCCACGCTTGTGTGTGTCTTGTGCATGTGTTGGTTTTCCATCTGTTCATCTGTATCGTTCTGCTCCATATCTTCCAAGCTTGATGGAGGTAACTCATCACAAATTTTTGTTTTTGTTTCTTTCTTTTTCGATTTAATCGATTGAATTTACTCGGTGCTCGGTTCTAGATCTGTAATTGTTTGCATTTAGTCATTGATGTTCATATGAATTTTAGGTGAATTGTTCATAATATATGTATATAATTGACTATTGATGTTCACATTTTTTTAAAGTTTTCTGTGAGTTCAGATTGTTTCTTTTTGTTATGGACTTTGGTTCCTGTTATAATGTGCTAATTGTTTGCAGTTGCAGCTTTTTTTTGGATGTTAGATTATGAATTTATGATTATATGTTACTGCCTGTGGTTTGAAGATTGCAGATGCATTTTGATTTTCGATTTGGATATGGAACAATAAGATCTGATTGTTAGTTTAAAGATTAAAATTCAGTAACCGACAGTTCGTTTTGGATTGGTCGATTTAGCTCTAATTCGCGTTTTTCTTCGTTTTTAGGTCAGATCATTAACTTGCAAGAGTTTCTGCCACTGCTTTCCAACTATTCGAAGAAATGTCTAGCTGAAAACCGTATTTGCTTCATTTCTGAATTTTCAAGTATATTATAGTTCTTAGAAAGAGGAAGAGAATGCAGAAAGATGTGTTTGCAAGCTAAGAGGCCTTTCTCTGATGATTCTGAGTCTCGAGCTCGATTTGAGTCATCCTCATTTCTCTTGAAAGAAATTGGACTTGTGCATATCCAGTTATGTGGTAATATTATTATGCTAAATTTGAGAATACCATGATCTTTGTGAAGATGGTTAAGTAATCTCTTCAATCCTTGAAAGAATTAAACCATATTTCCTGATTTTGGTTAGACTCTTTTTGTCGATTTAGTAAATGGATCGAAAAGGGGGTGTTTTGATGCAACGTTACGAGTTAGGGAAATTGTTGGGGCAGGGGAATTTTGCCAAAGTCTACCATGGTAGGAACATCGAGACAGGGGTGAGTGTAGCGGTTAAGATAATAGACAAAGAGAAGGTTTTGAAAGTCGGGATGATGAATCAAATCAAGAGAGAGATCTCGGTGATGAGATTAGTCAAACACCCAAATGTAGTTCAGCTCTACGAGGTTATGGCTAGCAAAACCAAGATCTATTTCGTGTTAGAATACGTGAAAGGAGGCGAGCTCTTTAACAAGGTGGCTAAAGGGAAGCTGAAAGAGGATGCTGCAAGAAACTACTTCCAACAACTCATCTCCGCCATCGATTTCTGCCATAGTCGAGGTGTTTACCACCGCGATTTGAAACCAGAGAATTTGTTAGTAGATGATGACGGGAATTTGAAGATTTCGGATTTTGGATTGAGTGCTTTGGCTGAAACTAAGAGGCAAGACGGTTTACTTCACACGGCTTGTGGTACACCTGCCTACATTGCTCCTGAAGTTTTTCACCTGAAAGGGTATGATGGGGCAAAAGCCGATATTTGGTCTTGTGGGGTGGTCTTGTTTGTGCTTTTGGCCGGTTTTCTTCCCTTTCATGACTTGAACCTTATGGAGATGTATAGAAAGATCGCAAGGGCGGAATTCAAGTATCCGAATTGGTTTCCAACTGAAGCACGAAGGTTAGTGTCAAAGATATTGGATCCAAACTCGGAAACCAGGATTTCCATTGCAAAAATAATGGAAAACTCATGGTTTACAAAGGGTTTTGAAACAGTACACACAGAAAACAAGGTTTCTGGTGGTTTAGAAAGCCGCTGCCAGACCAAACCAAATGAGTCTGTAATATCCCATTTGGAGGTGGTGCCTGCGGATTGTATGATGTACACAGATCTAACGTTTGTTTCTCATTCGGTAGAAGTAACAGGAGGTTTGGAAAAAGTCGCTAACTTGAACGCGTTTGATATCATTTCATTGTCACCCGGATTCAACTTAAGGGGATTGTTCAATAACAACGCGGAAGATGAGGAAGAGGTGAGATTCATGTCGAAACAACCGGTCACGACCATAGTTTCGAAACTGGAAGAAATAGCCAAGAGTTTGAAGATGCAAGTAATGAAAAACAATGGTGTTTTGCTAAAAATGGAAAGATCAAGAGAAGGCAAGAATGGTGTTTTAGCTATCGACGTGGAAATATTCGAGCTTACACCTAACATTCACCTCATCGAGGCAAAGCGATCGGGAGGTGATAGGGTCGAGTTTGGAGAGATCATGATCGAGCGTATGAGGTCGTCGCTTATGGACGTCGTTTGAGACAAGCATGGACAAAATCTCACTAAAAATCTCGTATCCCAAATCCATTTCTGTCCACCAATTAAATAAAAAAAATCTGATTTGTCATTACATGATCGATATTAATGGGAGTGGGAGGAGATTTTTATTTCACAGAATCTAAAAAATGGAGAAAAATTATGGTGACAAGCGTAAGAACGGATCTCCATCTTCGATCAATTATAATTGAATGTCAACAGTAATGATGAGGTGTACTGAGATGCATCAGGTCAATTATCTTCTAAAGCACAATACATGGATGTGCATGAGATTAAAGTGATTAAGGGTTCATTTACGCTTCTCATCATAAATTTCTTTCTCACGTGATCCTTTGTCTATGCATTAGTTGTATTTATTTAGAGATGCTTAAGCCATCTATGTATATATGTACTAGTTGTGTATGTGTGCACTTTCATCGGAACATGAGATTTTATGGTACACCAAAAAGTGTAAATTTTTTATTAACAAAAATAGAAAATAAAATTTGAAAAATTATGTTTATATAAAATAAAATGGGTCAAGGGAGGGTGATCGAGGGACCAGACTTTAGATCTCTTTTCTATGGCCGTTACAAGTTGTTGTTAAACATTATTTAATAATTTAAAGAAAAAGGAAAAACTAAACAATAAATAAATAAATAAATATATATATATATATATATATATATATATATATAAATATATAAATATATAAGAGCCTAATCAAATGAGAATTAAATAGTTTGTGATAACCGTGAGTTCCAATGTGAGCCAATCATTTAAATAATTAATGTTATATCCTAAAATAAAATAAAGGGCAAATTGGTAATGTTTTTAACTCATAAAACCCTATATTGATTTACCGACAGTGGTTGTATAAACCGTGTCCTCCTTCCAAACAATAGAGGGTCCCCTATTTACTTTCATCGTGGATCTCCATCTGTGTCCTCCTTCCAATTTATCTGGTCATCCCGTTCTGTTGGTCCCGTAAGGGTCTATAAGAAGAGAATATAATATCCGTGTTTCGTTAACTCGTACAAATTGAGATAAGTAAATTTTTGGTAGAATTGTGCATAACATATTTGTACCCTATGCTTAACCAACTTGTACCTCATACTAGTTTTGTGTCAAAAGTTAAGTTTATATCTATATTGACATAAAGTTGAGAATCTAACTTGAAGGATTAAAACCGTCAAATGATTAATGAGTTATGCTATTTATGTTAATGAATGCATACTAGAGATGAACGCATTTTATAAAAAAACAACATTTTATAATAATCTTTGGATATTAGTGTTGCTTTGCCTTGGGCGTTGGAGTAGC